GAAGGTCGGCCATATGAAGTCCAAGAACTGGGGTAGAAACTACCGCGGACGCTGGACATCTGCTATTTGGCTACTAAAGCCGCGTTTACACCGGAGTTTGAAACACGAGTTGCAAACAGAAATTGCAAACATCTCTAAAAACGCACATTTTTAGACGAAACATTTCGCTGTTGCAAACCGTTTTTCAGTGTTTGCAACAGAAATTTTTGTTTCCACTTGAAGTCGGTAAGGATCAAAGGGAGTTGCAAACTCTCTGTTTGCAACACTAGTTTCGGTCAATATGAGCCGTTGAAACACGAAACAGAAACATTTCTCTACCATCCCCTACGCTGCCACATCCACTGTCACTCACGTGATCAATGCGACCCTGTGTGCGACTCAGTGTTAAATTAATCGGAAAAATTCTGTTTGATTGTCAATGAATTAACACTAACCTCAAATGACAAGGTCGTCTAATTAAAAAATCACAATAACGTCTCATGTGAATTAAAAGGGTTATAATTAAGTCCTTGTAATCTTTAAAAAATAATAATAATTTTAATTTGATGATTTATACAATTACCGATGTTCACCCAACATCGTCTCGGCCTACGTTTCTTTGACAACACGACACACGCCGCCGCGGCCAAAATAACATCTTCGACACTTGAAATCCTCGGAAGGACTGATCCGAGGAACCAGAACGAGGTGAGTCATAATCAAGGTCGAAATTATTTCAAACAATTTCATGAAACATGGAAACAAATCATGAAATATAAATTGCAAACATTTATTTGAAACTACTGTTTGCAACTGCTGTTTGCAATAAAAGTTTGCAACTTTTTGTTTGAAACTCCGGTGTAAACGCGGCTTAACGATAGTGACTGCCACAACACAACACAACAGGTGGCAGATGGTAGATGGCACACCAGGATGTTGCAGTCTTGCACTGTAATGCAACTCAATATTACTTCGACAACAACACCTGTAGTATTTACAAAGTAGAGCAAAAATAGTGAAATCTAAAATTTTAGAGATAACTAATTACAATAGTGTACCCAAACGACATCAGCATGAACAAACACATAACAACACACTTGAGATTTGACAACATAATAAACGCCATTATAGATCCATATAAATTACAGCTGTAGATAAGTTTAGTAATGTTGGTAATGTTTTCGTTCTGTGTGGATGACGTTTTTATTGATAATATTATATCGTGTTATTTCACCAACGCAAGGCATTATAAGTTGACTTCTATTAGGTGTCTATTTTAGAATTATTAGTGGTACTCAACCATTTATTTTACTATCCACACGGTGGCGTGGTAAGGCCGGGGCCACACTCATCTTATCTCGCTGTATTTTTTCCACGGGCGTTAGGCCGGGGCCACACTCATCTTATCTCGCTGTATTTTTTCCACGGGCGTTAGGCCGGGGCCACACTCATCTTATCTCGCTGAATTTTTTCCACGGGCGTTAGGCCGGGGCTTTCAGAGATACATTACGGTATATGGGGCAGCCACACTAGAGTAAAAACGTCCGTGAACGCGTTTGTCAGTCTCGCTGGTTTTACCAGCGAGACTGACAAACGGAATTGCACGTGTATTCTCTACTAACATCCCACGGGCGTTGCACGTAAAACTAGTCGCGGGGCATTGCGGCTTATGGGAGTGAACACACTCATCTTACTCGCTGAACTTTTTCCACGGACGTTTCTAGTTTTAACCTGTACAGAGAGCGTGGAAGGGGGGGGGAGTGCGTCTCACGGACACGGACGATTTTTATTGCCAGTGTGGCATGCTCTATCAGTCTCACTGGTTTGCCCGAAAACCCTATCTCTGTGGCCACGGTCAAACTGTTTCACGTGCGTCGCACGTGAAAACGGAAAAAAACAGTCTCGCTGGTTGAAAATTACAAGTGTGGCCCCGGCCTTACCCGTAGGTTTGAGAGATACATTACAGAATATGGGGCAGGCCACACTAGAGTAAAAACGTCCGTGAACGCGTTTGTCAGTCTCGCTGGTTTTACCAGCGAGACTGACAAACGGAATTGCACGTGTATTCTCTACAAGAGTAAGATAATCTAGAGTCAATTGACTTTTAGTCAAAGACACACCAAGGCTAAACTAAACATAAACTCTCTTAAGAAAACAAAATCAATGATCTCATTAATTTGTATTAAAATATAAGTAAAACATACATTCTTAGGATTAGTAAAATATTGTTTTAGCATAGGTAGCATTTTTGTTTTACATTATCGAAAGGAATGGTGGACTAATAAACTAACAGTCGCAATTTTATTCATCCTGCCCACTGGAATAGATCATGAAGGTAACCCTTTCAATAGGTTAATATGGGCAATTTCAATTTGTTATGTTTATATTAAATCCATATTGGCAATCCTAAAGAGCAATGCGTTGAAGGATAATGGTATCTATCTTCAGATGCTGGTTGGTTCCTTCTATACGGTTCTTTCTGTGGTTCGTGGTTCTATCTATAACTAATCGTTGCAACTATAACCGGGATTGCTTCTAAAACTGTGTTTGTATCCATAACAATGGTTTCAACTGTAACTGTGGTTGCGTCCAGCTTTCTGGTTGGGACGCTTCGACTCGTCTTTGGTCATCATGACCGTCTTCTTCACATTTTTCTACCTTCCCTCCTTTCTCCATGATAATTGCAGCAGACCAGAGGAAAGCTGCTAATCACATACAGATGTGGAGCGGTTGGACGGTCTGTTATCTTCGCCAACTTGATATCTCCTTTCCGTCCCGACTGGACTGGAACAATTGCTCTACTAACGTTCAATAGTATAAGCTCTTGCTCTTACTAGTAGGTCCAAGCATGTGGATTTTCTGGAAATATACAACTTTATCTTTACGGTATAACAGTAGCATTGACATATATGTTACATAAAAGGGTTATGTGTAGATGATATCTACTCAAGGTTAGAGCATGTGTCTATTCTATCATAGAGAAAGGATCTTAATTAGATTGATTACTCTGTGTGACTAAATAATAAAGAAGAGTTGAAGTCGATGAATGCCAAAAAACGAATTCAATATATAATGCAGAAGTTATCCTATTTAGTACTATCATTGGCTATTGGATACTGAAGGTACAAACTGTCCAATAAAATCAGTTATCTATAATTTATTATGCAATTGAATAATCTTTTAACTAACTATTTTTTGCCGCAAAATACTCTTGGTTAGGTTGGTTTGATTATTAATTATACTTGTCTCTTTTATTGTATTTCAAGGCTTTAGCAAATGTGAGTGGCAGTGCTTCATTGCATGATATGATTTTAGGATAGCTATCAGTCCCTATTCTTTTTCATTATGGTCTAAATATTGTAGTTAATAATTTATTTATTTGTTACATGGCATACGCCACTTTACATTGTAATGTGCAGGAATAGCGTGACAAAACGGAACAGAGATTTTTAACATGATCACAGATTATAAATATGCAGACAAGCTTAACACTAAGTACATAGATCGTTCAAGATCCCTTGTTGGATTTATAGTTGACCTCTTATAGTTTTTACCATGTGAATATTTCCTGTATTTTACAAAAATGTTCTGTCAAATTTTGTATTTCTTCTTAACTGAAAATGGTATCTGTTTCCAGATTGTGAACCTTTGTAGTATTACTAATCAATAGTGGAAATTTTGCGAAACGATTCTTTAAACATTAATTTAAATTTTGTATCGTTAACGCAATCTTCGCATTAATACGTTTCTAGCTTAATCACGTTGCTTTTAATGGTAAAAAAAATCCATTCAACAATTATATACCTCCCTATTACCTAGATTCAACGGGGTAGCGGATTTTTATCCACCTGGAATTTTAACCCCTGGGCAAACGTGACGTCACAAACCAGGGGGTAAAATTCCGGCCGCGAACTTTTGAGTTTCGCGACATCAGCTCGATGGATTAAACGCGGAATTAAACATATATTTTCACGGTTGTGAATTTAATCAGAACACATCAAATTATAAAAAACTAGAATGTACGGCCCGGATTTTTACCCCCGGAATTTTACCCCCGGAATTTTACCCCCCGGATTTTTACCCCCGGAATTTTACCCCCGGATTTTTACCCCCGGAATTTTACCCCCCGGATTTTTACCCCCGGAATTTTACCCCCTGGCCAGATACATAAATTAATTAGTGAGAATGATTATTAATTACCTTCATTCAGTTAGTAAACATTTTATTATTAAGTAGCCTATCTTAATTTATTTGTAACTTAAACTAATCGAACAGGTTTTTAATTTTAACTTTGAGATTCGAGTATCAGGATTCGATCTTTGAAGCCAACTATTGGTTAATATGATCAAAATAAAACAGCGAATTCCCAGCTGATATTACAAAATAAATAAATAAAGATAGGCTACTAAATAATGAAATGTTTACAATTAATTAAAAACAGAAAAAAGAAAATCAATAATTCAATTTCTAAAATCGGCCAGGGGGTAAAATTCCGGCGGGTAAAAATCCGGGGATAAAATTCCGGGGGTAAAATTCCGGGGGTAAAATTTCAGGGGGTAAAAATCCGGGGTAAAATTCCGGGGGTAAAAATCCGGCCCGTACATCTTCAGTTGTCTAAACGCTAGTTATATGGACAGGGGGTAAAATTCCGGTTTTGATCGCTAATCTAATTAATCACGCTCTGGCTATTTTCATTAGACTTCCAAATCCGCGGGGGTAAAATTCCGGCCGCGAACAAACTTTTGAGCGCTCAGGTTACTACGTCATAGTGATGTCAGCTTTGCCCAGGGGGTAAAATTCCAGGGGGATAAAATTCCGGCGACCCGATTCAACCACATTACGCGGCAAAACTCATTGCTCTACAATAAAACCTTTTCGTCAGTTTTCGATGAGAACATGTCGCTCTGCAATAACTATTTCCGTCATCCGCCGGATTGTCTATAATTATTTGCGCGTCACGAGCCCAGCTGGCAGAACGAAGCAGTGTCCGGTGGCGAGGTGGGACCGCTGTGAACAGGGCGTCGAGCAGAGCAGTGCTGTGAACCGGCCGCGGTCAGTGGTCGATGGTGGGGGAAGAGACCAGTTTCTTGCCATACCTTCGCGCATACCTGAGTCCTGAGTCCCAGAGATTGGCTTGTATAGCGCTGTAGTTGTTGTAGAGGTGTGGTGACGTTGTCCCGGTGTAGTGTACAAAGTGTTCTAGTGGAAATTAACCGATTTTGGATTCCCGGATGTATTGTGGATAACTAGTGTTTGGTGCAACAGGTGGTGTGATTGAAGTGAGATAATTGTTTAACTGTTACTTCGGTTTATAAGTTTAAATGGCCAAATAATGGGCAAGGCTCTCATGAACTATGTTCTTATTCTTTTAAATTATGATAGTTAAACGTTTTCGCTTCAAAAGATAGTTCGGAAAGTTGTACTAAACTGGTTTCTAAAGATGGCCAGATTTAATTTAGGCTGTGGTTAAGACAGGGCCTTAATTTGCAAACCGGTTCTATCCTAACTGTCGGGATCTATTAAAGAATCTGCGAGGAAATTGGAGTGAGCAATCCAATAGTTTGGAAGGTTTCGTACCTATTGCGTTTGATAAAAAACTATAAGATAAAAAAATAATCCTACTTTAAAGCTAGTATTGTAAGCTTTTATATTTTATAGATTGTTCCAATAGGCCTAATATTGATTATTTTTTACATTGTATCCAGAATATTTTTTGCTTATATAAGCATCGATCACTCAATAAATGGACTACCATGCACAACTATTTACTCGTCAAGTTAATTTTATGTTCATACAAGTAGCCAGTTCATAAAATCAATTCACATTCATCAAATCGATTCAGAATTTAATGTTCATTTTCGATGGAATACATTGCAATATTTATTTAAGAACCATCCTGCATTTTCCCACTAATACTCCAATAATTACTTTGTGATCCTACCGAACAACGATAGGACGGCGTTGAAGTCTCTTACCAGGTCCTTACCTAATTACGTGGTATTCACCAAATTAACCCACATATACCCATTTTGCATAAATTATAAATTATTTTACGGTGTAGTCTATATACCAACGTGGACTATCCTAGCGATTAATTCGTAATTTTGTCTAAATCCAATAGAACGCCGACGAAAATAGTAAAAAATAAGGCTGGCTACACGAGTTATACCACAGAGAATAGACCTTTATTGTAGTTTTTTTACCTAGTTTCGTTGTGGGCGGTCTAATGACTGTGGTTATACAGACTTGTTAAAACGGTAAAATCGGAGGCGAAGTTTAATTGGCTGTATTTAGAACTTTGTCTTGTAGCCCATATAATTTTCAATTATAATTTTGGATTAGGTGGATAAAAATAGTAGGCTAAATATGTTTATGTATTTGTAACTATATTGATATATCGTGGTTGGGCCTACTTTTGTGCAAACTATTTAGAAGAGCACATGTATCACAAAGCCAGATGATTACAATTAACGCCCACTCTAATCCCTTTGTTCAACCGAAGTCCGGATATAAAACTGGATTTAAAGTTCAGTCACCTGTCTTGGGTCTTGTTTGTGTTAGTTTGGCACCTCGCTGACTGACTTGTCTGCTAAAAATACCACGTGACAAGTTATTGTAGGCCTTTGACGTTCTCTACGTTACTTGCGTGGTTTGTTGTTTAACTCACTCAATATTAATTGCAAATAGGTTAGTTTTTATTGAGTAATAGATAATTGAAGACGCTTCTAAGGATTAAAAACTGATGCGTCGACTATGTACGCTAGTTTGTACATGACAAGCCCCATTCGTTATTGACTGTTATTCGATGTAAATAATAATATAAAGACCCAATAGGTATTAAAATTGACTCGTCAATAGACGTAGGTTCGCACAATAATTCCATTTTGGTTATTGACTATTAATATACATGGCAATAGCTTAATGTTCCAGCCTAATTGTTCAAGTTAGGAACGTTTTATTGAACGCTGGAACGCTCTTCAATTTTATTTCTTCTATACCTGCCATGGAATATATTTTTTCGTTATATTCATCCATAAATATTAGCTTGGTAGCCAACTGGAGATTTATTTTAATATAACAGTAACTTCTGTAGTATAGATTTTGAATCTTAAGGTCGCCAATTCGTTGGCCAGATCGCTCCTGAGAAACAGAAAAGTCCGAAGCTTTTTGATAGTTCGAAACTGAGTGTCCTAATAACTATTTCTGCAACAAACAGCTGATCCTAGTCAGTAAAAGCATTATAAAAGCTATAATCATAGACTAACCGTTTTATCTATGCTATAATCTAATCCATCTTCACATGAAATTAATCACTCCGCTGTGTCGGCGTCGTGTAAACATCTTACAGAATTAACATAGATAAACCATACTCAAACTATCCTCATTAATTCAATCACACTACAGTTGTCGGCTTACTCCAGAAACGTGTAAAGTGTATTAGAAGATACTAGTAACCATAACGTTAGTGCAGTTTGGTGTAGTGTTGTGACCATGTTGCTATACGGAGTACTCCACTGTACGTGCATTTAAACGCAGCACACTCCCAGAACCAGCTCCCAGGTAGGTCAATGCGATACTATACCTTACTTGGTCTAATGTCTAGCACTGCTACTGGTATACACAGTCAACTAGAGGCTGTGGGAAAACAATGTGATTTGTGACAGTAACAACGTGTCGGCCTTTTGCAGACTTATTTTCTCTTGGAGAATTCAATTTGAAGAAATTTGAAACGTGAGTTGGGAACTTATTTTTTCTGTGAAATGAAATCTATATTATTATAAAATAGAGATGGGTTCGTTGTATCTAATTGTTCAGAGTAAACGCAAAACCTTAACTTTGGATCTCCTGTTTCCTTTTAAATAAAGATATGGATTTTATTTTGCCTCATCTAATAACTGCACTACACCAAAGATTATTTTATAATGGATTGTATAGCTGAGTTTTGTTTCTATAATCAATGATCTTAAGCTTAACTGGTTTTCCACGGGAGAATTTCTCATGTTGATTTGTCGCGTCCTATAATCGTTTTAAACAGCAGCCGAGCACTCGTTGACAATGCATTCCGAGTTTTCTCTAGAATAAAGATAAACTTTAGTCTAAAAATGTTTTTGAATTACTATATAATAATTCCTGGTTGTATTTTCATGACATATTTAGCTTGAAAAAGAAATATTTCGAATGTGTTTACATGATAACACAGTCAAGTTTTTAGTAGGCTATAACAAACTTAGGCTACTGTATTATAACCAATATCAGTATATTATTGGTCGTTAGAGGTAACGGGAATCTCGTCAGGTGAAGAAACAGAAGGGAAATGACGTCAGGGAGATTGTAGGAGCGAGCAAGGTTTTATGTGTAGGTTTCCAAGGTTCACTGGGTAAAGAGTCACGACGTTTATTTGAATACCCGCTGAGCAGCAAGCAATAAGCATGTCATTGAATAGAATCACAGACTTTGTTTGAAGTAATGTTTCAAACGAACTGCATTTTCCTTTTCCGCGAGAAGTAGATATATAGTTCAAATGAATGATGCCATTTTTGATCGACGGTTTCAAATGTGGAGATCAACATTCTTGTGATAATTGTTGTAAATGGTTGTAGTTTTACCCAAACTTTTCACCATTGAGATGGCTTTCTGGTCTTAAGTAATAAATAAATGTTAAGGCTACACATAAAAGATAAAAGATTCACATAAAATATTCAGTAACATAGGTACATACCTATGTTACTGAATCTTTTAAAGTACCTAACAGATTACTTACATGACTTGAACATCTTTTGTTTTGGTAATTTAATTGACAAAAATAACATTGATTGAAAAATAACATTGATGGTAGGCCTATTTGATTAGGGCTACCATCTAATTGAACACTCCGACCAACGAATAATTTGAAGTCTAGGGGATACGATGTTATTTACAAAAGAAATGAAATAGCTTGATAATTGTAAAAACAATATACTGTATTGTACGGAAGGAAACAAATATTGGTGTATTATTTATATAAAAACCCAAGTATAAATCGGTATGTCTTTTAGTTAAAATAACAATTAATATTAATTTTCTGAATGAGTGTTTCCTGACATTTTTGTGTGTGTTTAATGAACACACCGTTGCCGTAGTTTTGACTAACGTAGCAGAAGAAGCAGGTTGATGTTTGCTTCTCCAGACGCAATGTTTTCTTTGGCATCGTCTCTAGCGTCGGTCACTTATGAACCCATGAATCACGTGACGTTCTAATAGTCCAGGAGCTGAGGGGGTTTGAGCATGCATAAAAGTAGTACGCAATGTTATTGCTGATTATTGTAATATGGACTGTGGTGATAAAAATTACGTATGTCGCCTATTTCAAAAGTGGTCGATAAGGTGGGGGGCAGGGGGCAAACATGGCGGTTTGCGCTATGCGTTAAAACGCTGATAGTTCGAGAACGGTAAAAGATAGAACATCGGTTAAAACGTCGTTGTAATTCTAAAAATATGGACAACAATAATGGTTATTGGGTCCGAGGTCGTATCTCTATAAATAAACAACTTATAGTATAAAATATGTAAAAATGGACTTTTCGTGTAGTTTTTTTTAGCGAAAGTAGAATTAATTTGTGAGTGTCGCAAAGAAGTAATATCAAATATCTTTGCTGATAGTTGTAGTATGGACTGTAGTGATAAAAAATACGCATGTCGCCTACTTTTCAGGTGGTCGAGAACTTGGGGGGAGGGGGGCAAAGTTGGCGGAACGCGCTATGCATCGAAACGACTGTAGCTCGAGAACGGTACGAGATAGGACATCGCTTAAAACGTAGTTTTAATCCAAAAAATATCACCAATAGAAAAGGTCATAGGGTAAAAAGTTGTATCTTAACTAATAAAAAAGTTATAACAATAATAAGTTTAACAAAATCTACATCGTACAGCTATTTTTTTCGAAAATCGTATGGATTGTTGACAAATAATAGTGTAATTACTTAATTACTCGGCTAAATATTAACTAGATGCATTTTCTTATAAGAAAAAAAAAAATATCATTACGAATACATTTGGTTTAAAATGTAAAACACGGCCTCCAAACGCCTTGGGGTTCGTTCGTCCTATCATAATTGCATAATTGCTGGGCAGTGCTACTGATATCGGCACAACTGTTAATCCCCCCAAAGTTCATTGCCTTCCAATAACTCAGTGATATCGGGGTTGTGAAAGTGTTTGTACTGTTTAATACTACTGACATTTATTGTGTTTTATTTATACAAATAACATTCTTTTATAAATTTTAATAGTTATTTAAATATTTTAAATTTCAATACATTTTATTTTAAGTTGCTTACGTTTTTTTTTTAATTGTGTGTGGCTGTTTTTTTATATACGTTTGTTCTTAGTGACTTGTGGATTAGGCAATTTTAAAGTAGAATTTCACCAACTTACAAAAGTTGCATATAACTATTTCATCGACTACAGGTATGTGACTATTACTATTGTACGTGTACAAAAGGTGCTGTATTTAGTCCATTTTCAACACCCTAATATGGTTACAATCTGAATAGGTACTTCGTGATATATTTCTTGACATGGCATTCTTAGTGACCTCTACAAAAAAGAAAAAAGATTTTGATTTCAAATTATGCTTGATTTGTCAAGAGATTAGTGAAGATGTTTTGGTTGCAAACCCCAAAGCCTAAAGTTTAACTAGAATTAAACTAGCTAGCATTCGTCGAAAGGATATTATTTCTCTTGTTTTTGAAAATTTTGAGGAGGATCAATCGATGTACAAGTACCATCGTATTACAGGTGCTAAGAGAAATTAAAAAGGTACCTATTTAAATTCAACAAATAATATGAACAACCAGTGTAATTGTTATGGATAGAATGAAGAGATTTGCCGTATTTTTTAATATAAGGTATTTACTTTTGTAGTAATGTTTTTTTTTATTTCATATAACTGTATTGAATAAGAATCTGTTACATAATCATATTGTAATAACCTACAACATTATAATAATTAAAATTTGATTTGTAGTGGTAGTCTGTATTATGCATTTGGTTGCGGCGAAACCCCAAGTATTATATGTAGTTTGGAGGCCGTGTTTTACATTTTAAACCAAATGTATTCGTAATAATACCGGGTGTACACAAAAGAAGTAAACAACTTTGTACGTTAATATAACAAAAACTACGTGTTCGACATCGCTGTGGTTGGTATCAATGTGTTGGAAAACACCTCAAGTTTTGTTCCACACAGCTGACTGTTGTCAACAATGCCAACAATGTGGCAAAAGTAGTCGTTTAGTGATTTCGTTGAAAATGGTCAATACTCTTACAGAAAAGTCGTTTTGTGTCCTGGAGTTTGAAAGAACTCGATCTGCTACCACTGTTCAGCGTCGTTTTCGGACACGATATCATAGAGACCCTCCAAATAGGAAATCAATCTACGATTGGCATCGGAAATTCAAGGCCACGGGTTGCATAAGAAAAGGAAAGAGCTCTGGAAGACCAGCGACGTCTGATGCTCAGGTTGAGTTAGTCCGTGCAACTGTTGTACACACTCCGAGGAAATCAACGCGGAAGATGAGTATGGAGCTTCAAATGCCGCATTCCACGATTTGGAAGGTTTTGAGAAAACGTCTGAAGATGTTTCCGTACAAACTGCAGTTGTTGCAAAGTCTGAACGATGGCGACAAAGTGAAACGCTTTGAGTTTTGTAGTGATCTGCAGGAACTGCAGGAAGAAGATGGTTTCTATGAAAGACTCATTTTTGGCGACGAATCAACGTTCCACATAAGTGGTAAAGTAAACAGACACAATGTAAGAATTTGGGGGACCGAAAATCCTCGAGAGTCTGTTGAACATGAGAGAGACTCACCTAAGCTGAACGTATTTTGTGCTGTATCAAAGAAGAAGGTGTATGGTCCATTTTTCTTTCAAGAAGCAACCGTCAGAGGAAATGCTTACTTAGACATGCTGAGTGAATGGTTGATGCCTCAACTCGAGGAAGACAGTGAAGACTTTGTTTGGGTGCAAGATGGTGCACCGCCACACTGGCTGCACGATGTAAGAGACTACCTTGACGAGAGTCTACCGCAGCGCTGGATTGGCCGTGCTGCTGACGACAACTTACACCTCTTACGTTGGCCTCCACGAAGCCCGGACTTAACCCCGTGTGATTTTTTTTGTGGGGTTATGTGAAAGACAGAGTTTTTGTTCCTCCTTTGCCGTTGACTCTTTTGGAGCTCAGGAATCGCATTACTGCTGCAGTACAAAGTGTTAATGAAGCCACTCTTCAAAAGGTTTGGTCAGAATTTGATTTTAGAATAGATGTCTGCAAAGCAAGCCGAGGTTCACATATTGAGCACTTATAGTATATAGGAAAAAACTTGAGGTTTTTCTCTTTCTAATGGTGTATGTTAGTCTTTATAAGTTAGTAAAACTTCGCTATAATTTTAAAACAAAGTTGTTTACTTCTTTTGTGTACACCCGGTATATTTTTTTCTTATAAGAAAATGCATCTAGTTAATATTTAGCCGAGTAATTAAGTAATTACACTATTATTTATCAACAATCCATACAATTTTCGA